GCAGCCAAAAATAGCAAGTCAGCTAAAAACAAATCCGGGCCGCCAACAAAACAAATAATGATTTGACCGTTGCTGGAACTACATCGTTCATAGTTTGTGTGGTTTTGTGACAAAAAATCATGCTTTGAGTCAAAAGCAATGTTGTGTGCAAATTTGAAAGCAATCGGTTCAGTAGTTTCCCTGTTTTTAGCTAACAACATTGTAAAATTAACACTTTTATAAATATAAGAAGATTTGTTTGTGTGTGAGTGTGTGCATGTGTGTGTGTGGGAGGGAGGAGGTAAAGAGGAGGGGGATATATATATATATATATATATATATATATATATATATACATACACACACACACACATATATATATGGAGAAGGAATGTAAACTTAAACCATTTGGTGACAGAGAAGCAACCTATGCAATGCATAAGACAGAGCACCGAGAAGATCAATTCATATCCCCCTGATCCCCCTCCAATATATATGTGTGTGTGTGTGTGTGTGTGTGTATATTTATATGGGTGTGTGTGTGCAATATGCATGTGTGTGTATAAATACATACATATATATATACACACATGTGTATACATGTGTGTATATTTATAAATATGTATATGTGTGTGTGTGTGTGTATATATATATATATGCATATGTGTGTATACATGTGTGTGTTTATATATATATATATATATGTGTGTGCGTATGTATGTATATATATATATATATATATATATATATATATATATATATATATATATATATATATATATATATATATATATATGTATATATATATATATATATATATATATATATATATATATATATATATATATATATATATATATATATATATATATATATATATATATATATATATATATATATATATATATATATATATATATATATCTGTGTGTATATATACATGAATATATACATGCATGTGTGTGTCTCAGTGTGTGTGTGTGCTTATCATCCTCCTCAGGAAGCACCTTGCCAACTGATGTGATTATATTTCTACGCACCTTGTGATCTCTTATAGCACAGTTCTTCTTTTTCAGCTTCACTAGCCATACACTGCAGTGTAAAGTCCTGTTTGGTTGTCCACTTCTGGGCTAAACTGCCAACACAGCTTCCTCTAAATCCTAGGGGGCTGAACTGCCTACACAGTTTCATCTTTTTCTCGAGTGACAGCCCCTGGCATCTCCCTGTATATTTATTTTCCTGGCCCCACATGTCTCGCCAGACTATTGTCTTGACATCGACCTGGCTGCCACAAGATACGAAAATAAGTGATATTGTGCTTTTGTGTAGTGTTGTCTAATCTATGTATATGCTCCATAGCCGCAGCATTCTTGTTCTCGCTGATATACTTTTCATTCGGTTTTATATCCTTTTTCTAATATTTGGCATTGACCTAATGTGCATTTTGTGTGCACATCCATAGCGTACATCGATTTTTGTGCTTTCCATGCCACTGAAAAGAACTGTCTCTCGTTGTTTCTCCACATGTCACTCTTTATAAACTTTTTCAGATGTCACAATTTTTTTCCAGCTTCTCGCCTCTCAAAATGTGGCTAAACACATTATTCTCTCATATGTTAAGCTCTAGGTTTTAATTAACTCAATTCACATTATACAAAATAGAGGATTGGTTGAATGTTGAATTAGGAATTGACATCACAGCATTCAGGACACTCCCATAAGTGCTCAGTCCCCATCTTCAGCAGCAAGCGAAGAGTTCCAGTTCCGACGGTACCAGTAACTGTCTGAATATATATCCGTCTCATCCTTCCCCTGAGTGTTATGCCTTGGCCAGATCCCCTGGTAACTCCTTGCAGCGCCATTATTTTTAGACCGTAATGATCTATCTGTGCCTCCACAGTGTTCACTTGCTCCCAAAGGGCCCTCACAATATCTAACTTGTCATACAACAATTCACCACCAAGTGGTGCAGAGGAAAATAAAGAGAGGAAAAAGGGGGAGCGTTGAGATAAAAAGAGAGCATGAGAAAGGAACAAAAGTAGTTGAGAATCATTGTAGTTTCTCCTAAATCTTGATCACTCCAGTCAACTATTATCTTTCAGCAGTCACATCCTCGTTCTCTCCCCCCCCCCCCCCCCCCCCCACCCCCCCCATATAAAATATAAAAAGATCACAGTAATAAGATATAATCAGTGATTTAATGCTCTTCACTTTGTGACATTTGGAACAAATCAGAAAAGAACATTGGGAACACTGGTCCTCCACCGAATGATACTCTGGTTTCTATAGACCAACACAAGTAGTAGTTGTTCAAGTGTCATGGTCTCAGCAATTTGTATAAAGTACAAAGCAAATCTTACATACATGTTATAAACATAATTTGTGCACGTGAAAAGCAATTTACAGATAACTGGTACACAACAATGCAATCATTTAGAAATGTGTCAGGATCCATGGATCACAATCCTCAACATGTGGGTCTTTGGACCCCATTTTAAGGGGGTTGGGGGTGTGGACACACTCCTTAACAAGCATATTGTAAAAGACAACTGATATATGGTGAACTTGGATGTGTTGCCAAAAGGCACAATTATCACAGCCTAACTGTAAACCACAACACAATATACCAGCTGTACTTCAAAAGGCAGACACAGAAGAAGCAAAAGTAGTAGCAGACAAATAAAAAGGAGAAATCTTCTGTGACTGAAGACAGTTAACTCAGAACAGGCTCTGGTGGAGTTGGCAACAGGAGATTACAGAGGTACTGATAAAAGAATGAACAATCACAGCATGTTTTTTCTTAAAACAGCAGGCCAACAGTCACAAAGAGTATGCCCTGTTCAGCCGAATAATTTTTGCCTAGCATCAGGAATCTCCAGAAAAATCTACCAAGAGAGACAAAGAAAGAGATGGAGTGGCAAAAAAAAAAAAAAAGCAATGTTTACAATGCTCACTCTCTTGTCTCTCCACCCACCACTTTTTAATTCAAATTTGCATACAAATATGAATTTGATACAAACAATGGCAGTTTATGAATGTACAGATATAGGAATGTTGCTGATTGGAAGGATATTGTAATCAAATACTTGATAAAATTACATTTTACAACATGTACAGTAATATACAAATGTACAGCGCTGGCCAGGTATTCACAGTGTAACTGTTTTATCCCTAACAGAAGAAAGTTTTTTCATGTTTAGTGCAAACTCTTATTTCTCTTTGTGTGTGTTTTCCTTAATTGTTAAAGTTCAGTGTTACTGCAGTTTGTTCCCCTAGGGATTGCAGTCTGCAAGATAAATACATGGATGAGAAACCCCTGTACCAATCCCAGTATGCCTCGGTTAATCTCATTCAAACATAAGGTTATATCAGGGTCCCTGATGGTTACAAAGTCGGGACCAGGCAGGGACTTTCAGAGTTATTTCCATATATCTCCCTTAAATTATATTTATGCATGGATAACATAGAAAATCATTAAAAAGTATAACGTGGGGGGGGGGGGGGGGTGGGGTGCGGGGGAACGAAACAAAACAGCTGGTCAATATTGGCCTCACCATAAATGTTATGAAATACTATGAAAAACTGGTCTTTTGTCTTTTAACAAAAACATACATAGTCTGTAGTGTCGGCACTAGCCATGCAGCCTTCAACTGTTAGGCTCAAGACTCATTCAGCCCTCCCCTCCCTGCCATATTCTGCCCTTTCTTAAAAAAAGTAGTGAATACAGGCAGCGAAGAGATATCAGCTGTACGTAATAATAAACGACTCCCAAAACAAATTATACCTTATGAGTATGAAGTATCTAGAATATACTAGATATGTGAGATGACTAATTCTGCTTCCTCACTACTTTGTTCTCAAACGTCTGCTACTTTATATGTCTATTTTGTGACAGGGCTGCCCTGAATTAATGGCTACTATCTTTGACAATATCACAGTAATATAACAGGTCCATTGAATAACAAATAACACAAGGTTTTAAATGGTCATTACATTAGGTAAGTGCCATGATATAAAATAACAACAAATTTCTGTATCACGAATCAGTGTGAAGTGATTTTAACAAGGTACAAAAAACAAACAGGTAAACAGTCACATTAAATCAGGGCATTTGAGTGATTTTGTGGCAAGCAAATATTAGTGATCAAACAGTTGGGAGATGTGGTCGATATCAAGATAGCAAGAATAAAGACTGACTGACTTTCTACCCCACCAGGACATCACACAAGCGATAAACACCCAATGACACAATGTGCCACCATGTGGGTGAGGATCACCATGGAGAGGTCCCAGAAACCGCATTCAGCATTTAGGCTATATTTATGGCCAGGCTATATTGTGGCCGCTGGCAAGAGCCAGGGTAGGGCTTCAAACAACGAAAAATTCATCCTGAAAAGGATGGAAGGTTATGATTAGCAAGATTAAAGAAAAAGGCTCCTTTTTTAAATCAACTGGAATGTAGGATAAGATGTCAGTTTTAAAAGACAATTCTACACGACCCTTAATCCTCGTCCTGTAACACTATGTGCCATTGGGTCACCAGTTTCTGTTGCCTAATCAGCTCTCTCTCCACCTTCGGCGGTCAGTTGCGATGCACTTTATGGTTGCATGCCTGAGGCCTGTCTGTCCAGTCAGTCAGGTTCTGTAACCAGGTCTTTCTTGGTCTGCCTCTTCTCCTCTTTCCCTCTACTGAGCCCTGCAGTATTGTTTTTGAGAGGCTGTTAGATCTTATTACATGTCCATACCATTGCATTTTTTCGCCTTTTCACTGTAGTTAAAAGAGGTTGATAGTTGCCAGTGTGCTACACCACCTTTAAAAGTTTTAAATACAGAGAGTTAAAAACTGCTTAATTAATTATAAATTTGAACTTGTAATCTCTTTAAAAAATATATACAGCATAAGGCATATCATGGCAAGAAAGATATAAACAGAACTGAGCAGTTGTGGAGAGACATGAATGTCGATGCCTGTTGGCAATGTCATTTCAGGAATAAATTACTGGATAATATTTTACATAGAATCATTTCTCAACATCAAACATTTCACTGCATCCATTGATTTGTAATCCATTCATGATTCTCTTAAATGTTAAATCATATTTATTAATTACACTCATTCCAGGTCGGAAATGTCTTTCACAGAAGGCTCTGATTCTGTCGCAAGCTTCTATTACTTTCTCTGTTGGTATTGTCAAGACGACACGGAAGAAGTTTGGGTACTGGAAACACTGCAAATATACAAATATGATCATGTAACATACATAAATGGAACAAACTGTTAAAAGTGACATGGAATTTTATATAAAAAACTAATATGAAGAACAAAATATACGAAAAACAGAACATCCTGAATTCGCTCATGTATTTTAAAAGTTTAATACTTTCCTTTTGATGTGTATTTTTAAAAACTGAAATATCAAACCATATTATGAGGCGCATATATGCAAACACAGTTTTTCACTGAACAATTTTTGAACACCCCCCCCCCCCCCACCCAAAGTAACAAAAAAGAATGAATGAAAAAAAAAGTAATAATACTGACTGAGAACATTAAAAAAAAAAGTAGCGGTATCAAGAGGCATCCCTTAATCTGAATTCCAATCATTACTGAGAAATAAAGTGGAAATCTATAAAACAGCTGAACTCAAAAAGAAGATACAACCATTAGAAATGCATATTTCTGAAAAATGCATAGCATATCATACAGAGACCACACAACAAATGACAAGGTTTGCTGTATAATTACCAACCACATTGGCAACTATAAACCTCTTTCAACTAAGTAAAAAGACAGAAAATGCAATGGTACAGATATATAAGATATATCAGCCTCTCAAAGACAATAATACTACAGGGCTCAGTAGAGGAGTAGAGGCAGACCAAGAAAGACACAGATTCGGGACTTGACTGATCTGACAGGCCTCAGGCATGCAATCATGAAGTCCATGGCATCTGACCCTCACAGGCGGGGGAAGCTGATCAGACAGTGAACAGAAACTGGTGACCTAACGACACGGAGTGTTATGGGATGATGATCTATAAATGCATAGAAAAAAAGCATAAATAAAAGGTTCTTGGAAAATATGGAAGGAAATTAGATGTTACAGACAAGTGCCTCATGTAAGACAGTTGAAGTTTCCAGGACAGTTGCAAAGAAGCAGCATTTTTTTTCTCTTTCCCACCATGAGCTACTATCATATCCATAAAATATTACCATGGCAGTGTTCTATATGTTACTACGCTTGCAGATTGGAAGGTCATGGTTCAGGTCCTGGCTCCGCAGCAAAAAGAACAGTTTAAAAAAAAAATCTTATATTTAAATTTTCTCTTCTGACTTGCCCTCATTCAAAAAATTATGTTCTTTTCTCTTTCTGTTTGTCCACAACATTTTTAAAACTTTCTGAAATAAAGCAGCATAACTCTTGCTTCGCATGATTGTGTTGTTTTGTTAAAAGTCCAGAATTAAGAAACACACAGACATATAATAACTCACAGAGAATGCTCATACGCAAACAACTTATCATTGCTGGCAAACAGAAAGAACATAAAAAAGATATATAAACAGCTTGCTATTGCTGGTAAACATGCAACGCGCATACAGATAAACTTACTGTGGCTGGTAAACAGAAAACACTCTCTTCAGTGATCATGCACTCTGTAAAATCGACATCAGACTTGAAATCGGGAAAGAATTCCATGTCAATGCCAACCTTCGTAGAAAGATAAAAAATATGTTTATGAAAATATTACCATTCAATACTACAATATTTCCGCTGATTACTACGAGAATATTACATAGTAAGACCCTAATTTCTTCCATGGTGTGAATCTCATACCAGCATATGAATCCTATTTTTCTAAACTACTCACCATGGAATCAAATCATGTTCAACATTGAGGACTACATAATAAAAGCATTTAACTCAACTCTAAGCCACAAACTATACATTTACTGCAAAATAATCTTTTAGCAATAGTATTCATTTAATCAACAGTATCCTGTTCAACCCATCTGGGTTATAGCAGAGATATATATATATAGTTTTCTTTTTCTATTTCGGTAATGGATAGTTATGCCTATCAGTTATTTTGGTTATTTTTTCTTCTTCTGCATTCATTTGAAGATGTAACTGCCTTGTGCCCATTTACATGGCTGCGATATTTGTGCCTATCGGCCGACACATCCAACTTCTGCAGTCATTTGTGGACCAGATTAGCCTTTCCAATGCTGGGTTATTTAACACTGCACAGCTTATATATTAATTCTAACAGATTGTAGGAAGATAGATTGTTAAGTTTAATATATTTTTAGTGTACTTTTTCAAATAATTATCATAAATACAGTGTATGATCAATCTTTGGAAATTTTTACAGTGATCTTTGATATAATTGTTTCTGTCCTAAGATATACTAAAACCTCACACAGTAACCTTTGTTCTCGTCATATATTGTTTAATAATCTTCTTCTTCTTATCATTCAAGAGCTGTAAATTCCGGATGAAAGTTCAGGTCATTCATCTAGGTCCAGATTTTAATCTTGTACCATAACTTGAGTTTTGCATGAACATCCTTTTTAAATATATGGCTTCTTTGTGAGCAGATTTTGTACAAGTAACAGAAAGTGTATTGATCGGCACTCATAGAAAGACCATGTTTCTTAGTGCACTTGTATTCATGGTGAGGCGCAGACGCCGTCTGGAGGTGACAGGTTCAATTCCCGGCACGGTAACTATAGCTTTCGATTTTTATGTTGTCTAGTGTGTTCTTTTATCGTTCTACTTCTTTCTATGAGTGCCGATCAATACACTTTCTGTTACCTGATTAATTCATAATATTTAACGGCCTCAAAGGTTCCCCCCTCTGTTTATTTATAGGAGATTTTGTACAAGCAGATATCCTGTAGTACTCAAGTGATTCTCATCAGAAGTATTTTTTGGGCCAACACTATGCTATCAGTGCCAAACGTGGACACTTACATCCTCCAATGAATGTAAAACTGTGACAACAGAGATGAAATGCCTTAGAAGAGCTGCAGGAGTTTCAAGGAAGGACAATATGAAATTAACAAAATCAGATGAATGTTAGGAATAAAGCCAGCCTTACAGGTCATCAAAGATCAACAAATGAAGCGGTTTGGACACCTAACAAAAATGCCCTGGTACTGTTTGCCTAAGCGAGCCACACTTAAACATTACAACAGGTATAGAGCGAGTGGATAACTTCAGAAAATATAGAGTGATGGCATTAAGAACAGCCTTACAGAAATGAACATCAGTCTTAATAGTGCTGCTGACAGAGCTCATCAACGAATGTTACATCTCCCCACGACACTTTGATGAGGTACAAGGTAGAAGAGAAGAAGAAAAAGATTTCGTATTTATTTCCTATAAAGCAGATGCACTCTGACTTCGAAGGAAACACTACTAATTATTCACCTTTTATAACTTGCTTTTTAGTGGGCAGTGGGTCGATTTTTTCCTCCAAAACAGGGTCCTGGAACCCGCATGGGGAAGCAAATTATTAAATTAAAATTTACTTCTAAGACCCCTGATCATTCTTCTTCTTCAGCATTCCAAGCCCTTGAGGTTGCAGGTATCACCCGCCTCTATTCATCTTTCTGGTTGGCCTTCTCTTTCCAGGTGGTGACACTAGTTGCAGGTCTGTCTGGACATTATGACCCCTGATCATATTTGAGTTAATTCACTGGCTTATTGACAATGGTTTCAGTTTCCAGGAGCAGATGGACATTTTCTAACCCATAGTACTTTATTCTCAAACAAGCCTTAAAATATCCAAAATATCTTTTCCAAGGCTTGCATGCTTCTTACTGTATTACTTGTAAGCTATTTTGGCTAACAAAAATATAGTCTAAAGTCTGTTCTCAACATAATTGCTTTCCTTAAATATTTGTGTTTTTTTTGGGGGGAACATGCAGGGTTAAGAGTTAAACTATAATGATACCTACAATTAAAATTTAACAACAGATTTCAGGAACATACCATCATGTACATTGCTCCTTGAGGCATGACTGGGTTGAGCCCCGGCGCATCATAAAGATGTTTGTAGAACAGCTTGGCATTGTTCTAGAAGATTTAAAAAAAAACCACCTGAGTACATCAAACAAACACACCAACACATGAGAGATACTATAACCTTTCCTTGAGAAAAATACATTCTTTTTAAGCAAGATACTAAACATTTTCTTAACAAAGTAGTAGTAATATTTACAAAAATAATATTCTGCTTAACCTGTTATATGTATGCATTTTACTACAGATATATTATGTATGTATATATAAATTTATGTATGTATGTATGTATGTATGTATGTTATGTATAGGAATTTTAATCTAAACAAAACCCGCTGGTATTCACCAGAAATGTCATTTTAAAAGTGCCAGTGCTCACCACAAAGTGTATTTTACAGAAGTGCCAAAAACAAAAGATGCTTAAACCAAGTGCCGGTACTGCATACTGCCAAAAGAAATCCCTATATATATGTATATGTCTGTGTGTGTGTGTGAGGGAGAGAGAGAGAGAGAGAGAGAGAGAGAGAGAGAGAGAGAGAGAGAGAGAGAGAGAGAGAGAGAGAGAATATTAGTCACTTTAAAATGTTGCTAACACCATATATTCAAAATATTGTGGGGGAAATGGTCTAAAAATGTTTCCCCCATCTAACACTCTCTTGTATAGAAAACCACATTACTTACCTCAATGTAATTTAAGGTATCTGTGTAGAAAGACATGGCTGTATTCCCTAGAATTTCTGGAATGGCGGACTGGATTAAGGTGTTGGGACCCAGGATTCTTTGAGAGAGTTTTCCCAATCCTTGTCTCACCTGAAAAATTAACACAAAATTGAATCCACAGATTAGGAAATAGGTTTTAAAAAAAAGGGCTTTCTTTTGATCTTGTACAATGCCTATGTTTCCTTCTTCTTGATGTATCACAATATTAGAATGTTTCTGTAATAATTAAGTTACAATGTCTAAATTATCTACAGCAGGGACTGTACTTTTCAATAATGGAGGAACAAACAATACATTGCACAATTTTGCTGCATCTGGCCAGGTGCATTACTACAGAGTTACATCAACATCTAATGACGCACGAAAATTGAATTAAGTGAATCAAAATACAAACAGTCTCTCTCAATACTCTGTTCTTCCAATCATGATAGTCAGGTGACTTACCAGGGTAACTTTAAATTTACAATGAGATCCTTCTGTTCACACAAGGGAAGATGTTTAATTAAACTTTTTAATTTTTGGCTAATCTCAGCATGTGCCTGTTTTGTGTGTGGTAAATAACATGGAAGACACCTTCCTTGTCAATTACATGTCTGGAATCAAGAAATGGCTTTCTAAACAAGCTGGGTTCTTTCCTCTTGGTTAGTCTCGACACCCTTTGAAATTTCTCAGCGGTTTATGCAGCCATTTAAATATATGTTCTGCCGATCTGCGTCCAAGTTGTCTCTCTGTTCGACCAAGACAAGTCCACTGGCAGTTACTTTTAACTACTTATCACCTTCTTAGGCACACACCTTTTGAGACTGCATGAATTAAGGCACAACCCCAAATGTCCAAATAATGGCCTAAAATAAAGACTGGGATGTAGACTTACTTCTGAGAAACTGTCATTTCTGTCATTTATGACAATCCAGCCCAACCTCCAGCCTGGAATTAGAAACCTGGAAGAGTTAAAAAGACAATACAGTTTATAAACCTGTACCTGTAGCCACACAAAATATAAGTGACACCTTGGGTAGAAAAGTGGGAGAGCTGGCGAAAGACAGATTCTTTGAGGAATATCGTGATTACAGTGACATTCTGAAAAGGACCTGGGTAAAAGTAACATTGGTCTTCCCACGCCCTGCCCATATAACTACCTCACTTCTGATTTGTAGTTCCTGAACCTGTCACCTTAGCTCAAGGCTACGGGGCTGTTCCGCAATGCCGTTGATAAGCAGTTTTGTAGTTTAACCATTTTGCCCTAAGAAAGTCATTTTTCTTACTTTTAGGGGTTTTGATGACAAGAAGTCTTTGGGCAGTGGCCAGGGTGCCTATATAACAGCTTTGGTACTGGCTGTAACTGCACAGTATCTATACACGATGAGTATGACTCTATATACCCCAAAATACCACTATTGTCTTCAGAAATATTATAAATACAATACAACTAGCAATGATCAGCAGGTCACTTGCTCGGTCATCATGGGCCAAATTTGGCCAGTGGGCTGACAATTGAATGACCTTGTCCAAAGGATAGGTGTATGTGTGCATATATTTAAGACATACACGTATGCAAGTGTTTCTTCCACTGCTCCTTAGCTCTTTCAGTCCCAGGTTGTTTCAAAGTAGACACCCAATTTGGCACAATAATCACAGTGTAAAGACAACATATGACTTTCAAAGATACATCAAGTACTGTTTTGCATTTAAAATATTTGGCCAGATTTATTTTGCACACCCAGACCAAACATGACATAAATAATAACATATGTTATACACACACACAGACGTAAGATGAGTACACATGGCGCAGTTTGGGACATAAAGAGTTAGGAAGGGGGAAAAGGAACCAAAGAAAGAAATTTAAAGCATTTACTTCTCCAATGTTGAGCAGAAAACCACTACCTAAACAAAATACAGAATACAAATGTCTAATATTAATTATCCCCCCCCCCATGGGTTCCGGGGCCCCATTGTTAGGAAAACAAAAATCGACTAACTTCCTCCCCAACAAGCATGTTGTAAAAGTTGACTAACTGGGTGCTTGCTTCCTTTGAAGTCAAAGTGGATGAACAATCAGAACTTCCCACCTGAGTTTACAGCCAATGAAGGTGAAGAAGAAGAAGATTAATAATAAATGGTGGCATTAGTAATATAAATACACTTTCTCACCTTTTGGTCAGTCCACCACAAGCTAAAACTGGAACATCTTGAGACAATGATGCAATGGAATGATACGTATTTCCAGAAAATACCTGAAAAGGAAACAATTATGAGTATTCAGCTCAAAATTCTAAGTTAGCCCTATACTGAATTTATGCATCTTATATCCGCCATAAAAGTCAACAATAATATTGGAATTCTTCTTTTTCTTCATGTTCACCAGCTGTAAACCCCGGCAGAAAGTTCTGGTTGTTCATCCACTTCTAGTCTTATTTCAGGATTTGAGTTTCATGTGCACATCCATTTTCCAGATCTTGCTTATTTTTTGTATTGCAGACCTCTCAGATAGATGTCTAGCTTCAAGTCCTTACGTCCTTTTCAGGACGTAATTTTTTGTTATTTGAGGCCCCACCCTGGTTTTTGCCAGGGGCCGCAATATAGGCAGGCCATATATATGGCCAAATGTCTGAACGCGGTTTCTGGGACCTCTCCACGGCGATCCTTATCCACATGGGGGCACTTTGTGTCATCGGGTATTTATCGCTTGTGTGATGTCCTGGTGGGGTAGAAAGTCAGTCAGTCAGTCAGGTAGATGAACCCTTGACTTTAAAGGACGCATCCCCCCTCCCACCCGCCCACCCCAAAATTAGTCAACTTTTGTGACATGCTTTTTAGGGGGGTTAACCCCCCCCCCCCCCCCCTTCCCCAATATGGGGTCCTGGGAAAGTTTTGGAATGATTTTTTTAAATCTTTAAACTCAACTTATTTGTCCCAATTTGTGGTATACTCCATTTCTTAAATGCATAACTCGACTCGATCCCAGCTGGCTGTCCCATAAGCCCAATGTGGGGGGGGGGGGGGGGGGGGGGGGAGGGAAAATCAGGGGTACTTTGAAATTCCGCAGTACATTACTTTCACTGAGACTAAGCACAGGAAGCCACATTTCTTTAACATATCTCAACCAAATGTAAAATGTACATGAACACAGGACATGATGGTTGGAAACAGCCCAATATATTAATTTTTTCCCTTATTTCACAGAATTTCCTAAACTCTATACTTTAATGTTTGTATCAATGATTATTCAGTTAAGACATTAAATAAAACTAATTTCTTTTCCACTGGCCTAAGGTCCTTTGTAATCTTGTGCATGTGTTTATGCCTATTATTGCTTCTTTAAATCTGAACAAATCTTTCTGGTAAATTCTTTTTTTTTTTTTTTTAATTGCAGTCTGAAAAATTGACAGTTGATTCAAAGAGTTGTTATTCAGATTAAAACTTAACAAACCAGGGATTTTTCTGAAATGACGCAACATAAGCAGTATGGGAAATTTTTAAAACTCTGAGTCCCAGAGAACGCATCACACTTTCATAGGTTCTTACCTAGAAGCCCAATGAAAGCATGATGTGTAAATTTTAGTCTCTCTTTACTACCCATTGGGCCTGTGATGCTAAACCCCCTGGGACTCAAAGAGTTAAAGCATCTTTTATGCAGTGATTCTGTAATATAATTTTTTGTAAAGGTGAGTTTATGGCACTTTTTGTTTAGACATTCTGTGGTGAGTGCTGGCACTTTTTTGTTAGTCTAAACATTTTTTAAAATCTCAGCGTATATCAGTTATACTGGAGCAACCTACAGTTGTGAAGCTACCAGCTATCCACTGTAGGTGGGTATGTGTTTAACATTTTAAAATGAACCTTTATTATAAAAGTAAAAGCATAAAGAAATTACTCACAAAGTGTTCATAAATTTCATCAGCAATAATGGGCACTCGGTTCCTTCCAACAGTATCAATGATCTGCAGCAGATGTTCCTTGCTGTACACCGAGCCACACGGATTTGATGGGTTGCACACAACCACGGCCGCTGTATCATCATCAATCAAGCTCTCTAGATGCTCTAGGTCAACCTCCCAAGATTTCTCCGGCTGTTTATGAGAGAAAATTAGAATGAAGGATATATAAAATTACTGTGCAGATAGTTCTTTTCTTCACTATCACCGAGTGTAAACTTCCGCGGAAATTTCTGGGTGTTCACCCATTTCTGGACTTTGGCCTTGTTCAACAACACAAGGTTTGTATGCACATCCGTCTGACAGATTTGGCTTATTTGTAAACAAATGATTCTTTGCCTATCAGGCAGATATACTTAGACTTCACAGGAAAGATCCCAGATGAGTCACCTTTTACGACAAGCCTGTTAGGAAAGCAGTGGTTCTATTCTTTTTGTGTGTGCACAAAATGGGAACCCACAAGGGGGGGATGGGTGCATTTAGTTCAATGGCTGGGGGTCTCCAGGGCAGAGTGGTCAAGCCTCTTGCTTCCAAACATGATTGTTGCTGGTTTGTTTTCAGATTGCTCTATTCAGGTCATGAGTGCAACATGCGCCAATAGACACAAGGCCACAATCAATTTAATGATGGCAATCTTTATTTATACTATTTATTTATACTATCCCGTCAACATCTGTTAAAGTCAAAGTGTCTGTCTCGCAACACCAAGATCAAAATATATCCCACATGTCCCATAACCATAACAATTATAACACACTATAATTAACAAGTTCAGGTTTAATATATATGTCATACCAGCAGATCATAGTGCCGAACGTGGATGCCAAGTGACTCCGCTAACGTCTTGTACAAAGAAAACCCAGGTCGGGGGATGAGTATATTCTGACCTGGCTCAGCCAAGCAGGAGATGCACAGATCAAGGGCTCCTGAACAACCGCTAACCAGAATAATATCCTGAAATGTAGAAGATTTACTGATATAATAAAGACATATACTAAAAAAATCATTATCATATACTAGGTATACATTATAGAATACAAATCCTGTTTGTTATTCTAGACAATATTTGTTTGGGCTTGTTGATAAGACTTTTTATGCCAAGAGTGATTTACAGTGCTATGTCCATAGTTCTAAGGATCAATCAGCACTTGAAGGATGATGTAGTCACAAATATCACAGCCTTGCTTGTTAACCATTACACAACGTGCCAACTCCCCTTCTGAGGGCAAAGTGCAAAGAAGATGAAGGGACACAAATACGTACCTTGGCCTCTACTCTGGATGTGGGTGTGGACACGTACTCAGCAACAGCCTGGCGAGCAAATTCATAACCTGAAAAGAGATTAAAACATGTCTTCATTATCTCATTTTATAAGGGTGAAAGTCAAATACTATAAGAACACAATTAGGGCAGTTATCACTGTTTCCTTGGAATTCCTGCTAAAGATTGTCAATAGCAGGCTGACTGCTCTCACTCAGAAAAGTTATTTGTTTTGCTAGGTTTTGCTGATGCAAATTCCTCATTTCTGGACCGGAAATCCAACTAGCTACTTAGTTGAGTACTTGGTGCAACACTGTGAGTTGTGCATTTTATGTGTAGGGCTTTTTCCTGTTGTTGTACATGGTGTGTTGCTGACTACACTAAAGGGTGAGTGGCCGAATACACTCAAAATGGCATGTACTTTTGTTGGTGTCATGCCAGCTTTCGTAACTGACTGACTGCACAAACACTGAACTGTCATTCTGGTGTAAGAGCGTTAGTGGTGGCACATCTTGCAGCTGCTTTATGCATTTTTTTTTAAATTTGCGTGCGCAGGGTCCACATTTTTCAATAAATAAATTGGACACTGAAGGGACTTTTTGTTTGATTTCCCCTGGCACAGTAACGGAGCGGTTATGGTGTGACCTGTCTACAGAGATTTTAGAACCTGGACTAACTAGCTAGCTAGAAAGCTATTTACTCTTATCACCAAACGTATGCTGTTGTTGGTTTTCAACAACTGCTTTCTATCATTCAATGATTATTTTAATTCTTGTTTAGCTTTCCTATAATTATGTAGTTTTTGAGGTCATGTCTTTTTTCCTTGCCATATTTTCCAGGCGATATGATTCCATGATAATATTATAAACAATGCGATATGATTCTATGATAATGTAATAAATATTATGATATAATTCTATGATACTATAATAAATCATATGATATGATTCTATGACAATAAATAATATGATACGATTCGATGATGATATGATAAATTGTCTCACCAACGGAAGGGGCATAACCATTAAAAGTTCTCTTCTTGACACTTTCGATCACTGCTTTTTCGCAGATTTCAGATATCGGCAGGTTGCCAAATGTTGTTGGATCTCCTAGAAATTTCACAAGTTCAGGAAAAAGATCAGCTAAGAAATCAAACTTGAGTTGTTAAATTATATTATAAATCATATTCTGATGCCTTAAGGGTATGGGTGTTAAGCTGTCACACATACAAGGCTTTTTAAAATTCCTCCCTCTGGGATATGCAGCTTGAAAGATCAACACCCAGTGACTCAAGGAACAGACTACTACTTTCCTTTCTTTTTTCCCCTCCCTCTGGGCAGTTCCTTGAAGTTTTTACCTCTCGGAGATTACAAAATCTCAATCTGAATATCAGGCTAACAAGTCACCACACATTGGGCATTCTCATGCATGCTCAGTCTTCCCATGTAGCAGCCACTCCAAGGTACCTCTGTTGATTATTTCCATGAGAAGTTGGTTATAATGTCTCCTATATTGACCTTGAAGACAGCACAAATGTACTTCACCAGAAAGGCTTAAGGTAGCCAGTTGTTTTGCTTGCAAGATTTCCTTCAAGGTTAAAACCTCAAATACATTGGTCACATTAATTATCAACACCTAAACATTAAAAAAAAAAAAAAAAATCACCGAACATAGCAAGTGGTAATTTAGTGTCCAAATATCAATGTAATGGCTGAAACTGTTTTGTCTTGTTGATTTCTACAAGTCGTCCCCTAGTGGGATGCAATTTTTTTTTATTTGAAGCCCTACCCTGGCTTTTGCCGGGGGCCCCTGAATATAGCTGGGCCACAAATGTGGCCATAACGGCTGAAAGCTGTTTCTGGGACCTCTCCCCGGGCGATCCTCATCCGCATGGTGACCCTTTATGTCACAGGGTATTTATCACTTGTGTGATGTCCTGGTGGGGTACAACAAACAAGCAAGCTATTTTTGGTCTTATGTTGAACAAGGCACAACAGAAATCACTCTCCACATCAAGCTGGCAGCGCTGTTTTGTTTTCATGACTGTTAAAGTTGAAAATCCTGATTATTAGGAGTACTATCGTCTGGGAAGATGGACAAGTGGAAACAAACGAATGTCATCAAGGGACACCATTTACATCCTAATATAGATGACATAATTACTTTGTTAATGCCCCTCATTACTTTTTTTCCCTCTAGATATGGAGTCTTCTAGCCAATATCACAACCACGATCAAAAACAATATAATAAACTTCTTACCAATAGATAATGAGATCATAGGTTTGTCCGGGTGTGGGGTGATTTTCATAGATTCAACAATACTTCTGATCGGATTGAAAGTATTCTGCGCCATCTTGGAAACGGGCACTTTCCAGCCTCGCCTTGCTCTCTTCACGTTTGCTGACATTTTCAGTTGTACGTCGTTTGTTTAGTATTGAAATCTGAAAACATAATATTTGATTTACATTAACAACTGGAAACATATAATATTTCCTGGGTAGTTCAGCAACAAATATCTGGTATGATATGCTTGGAGTGTCGAAAAAAAACGAAGGTAAAGGTTTTACTAAAACAAAGACTGACCACGTTACCTGCCGATTTGGTCTAGAACAAAGCTGTTTAACTGAAGTTTACCCTGGTGGTCAGGATGTTGAAAAACTTGGATGGTCACGGTCCAAAGGCTTAAGCCTCAGCATAGAAAGATCATAATACAAATCCCCCGTGTGGGTTCAGGTGCCCTTTTATAGAGAAAACAAGAATAGACCCACTGCCTACCCAAAAGCATGTCGTAGGAGTCGACTAATTGGGAGCCTCCTTCGAAGTTGGAGTACATCTGCCTGAGAGGCAAGGAACCAACAGTCTGCACACAAATGTGTCAGATCTGCCAAACGGATGCATACGCAACACTAAGGTTCTGGAACAGGACTGCAGTTCAGAAGTGGACGAACAATTAGAACTTTACACCAGAGTTTACAGCCGGTGAACGCAAAGAAGAAAGAATAATATAATACAAATGGTAATGATCCGCGGGCCATTTGCTAGGTCTCTGCAGATAGGATTCAGCCAGGGGGACGTCAGGTGAATAGCCCTGGTCTATAAAATTTAGGCATAGCATGATGTGCCCAATCGGGCCGCTGTAGTGTAGCGGCTAGTCGTTCGCCTGCGGATCCGAAGGTCGTGGGTTCAGGCCCTGACGGAGCCGGACTTATTACAACAATGATTTTTACTCCCATATCGACCTAGCCTTAAATGAGTACTAGGTAACTTCATGGGAAGTAAAGGCGGGCGCTGTGACGTTGACCACAACCGGCGAACGCAAAGAAGGAGCAGAAGTATCGTCAGGTTGTCTTCTTGCTGGTCATGTTCTTCAACTGCGACCCCACGAATTAACAATATTTCACGGTTCTGTACATGGAAATTCTTGATGTTTTGATCACCGATGAAGAAATTTGACGAAACGCTTAATCTGAGTATCTTTTCTTTAATCGAGCTTCGTGGTTACGTTTTGTGTGTTCACTCATTCGTCGCATCAGGTCATCGTAATAAAGAGGTCAAGCCGTTTGCCATGCAATTTTTACCAGGGAGATCGCCGTCGGAGCTACGGTGCTTGTGCTTTGTGTGACGCTCTCGGTTTGGCAGTTAACTGTTCTGCAAAGAGAGACTGAGCCATATTTGGCATGAAAACCCAGAGCAATAATGTCGACCCTCTTGACGTTAACCTTTAATCATTTTAATTAAAGGACCCTTTTCCACCCCTTCAGTCTATTGGGCAAATAGGGCTAGACCTATATTTTATAGACCAATCGGCACTTGGTGGGCTGTGCGGTCGCCTTTACTTCCCAGGCTTTTAACTGGTACCCATTTAAGTCGGTTGTCGACCAGGTTGTCAAATTTATTTCTGAAAAAAATAGGAAGCCTGGTTCAATTAGGATTTGAACCCACAACCTTCGGATCCACAGACAAACGTCTAGCTCTCAATCAGTTTTGTTTAACTGCAGTCTCTTGATTTCTGACAACTTTTAACAAGTCCTGTCTCGAACAACAAATGTGCGATTGTGTTTGTGTGTGAAGGGGAAGGCGTGGTTTCTCTGCCACCGTTTGTGTTCACAGAGAACGCAGTTAAGGTCCAATACTCCGGCTGTCGACAAGTAGGTACAAATTGGTCACCCCGTTTGAAACAAACCAGGCCACTTGCCACAGAGGGCAATCACACGACGCTGTGGCTGGTCCGGGTCAAGTCTAGTCACAACATGGCGGCGATGGGGACGTGGCGCGGGGGCGAGAAAGTAGTTCCCAATGGCGAGCTGGCTGTATACGTGGCAGCCGACGTCCTGGGGGTTGTACAAGGTGACCCAAGGGTTACAGCTGCCGGTTTTATCTGGCGTAGCCTCCCCACCCCCACACAATTCCAGCGACGACCGTCAAGGATCAACAAAAAGACAAGGAATCGACAGACAAGGTCCGAAATCCAGCCAACCACCTTCATAACGCAAAGCAAAGCAGTCTAATCACGAAGAATTCAAAAGTTAGGAGAGAGTAGCCAAGACTAAAGACGTTTCTTGATATCTGAATGTCTTACGTGAAAAGAGCTAGGGTGGAATTTTCAATTTTCTCCACCAACTGCTCAACAATTTTCATTTTGTGCTCCCTGAATCTAACTAGTTCAGCAGAATATATCTTGTCTTTGAATGTAATACCTGCGGTAATATTCCTTACGTCCTTCTTAGGACGTTATTTTTTGTTATTTGAAGCCCCACTCTGGCTTTTGCCAGGGGCCGCAATATAGGCAGGTCATCATTATGGCCAAATGTCTGAACGCGGTTTCTGGGACCTCTCCACGGTGATCCTCATCCGCATGGTGGCACTTTGTGTCATCGGGTGTTTATCGCTTGTGTGATGTCCTGGTGGGGTAAAAAGCTAATCCAATACCTGCGGTACACGAAAACGAACCTTCTTAACTGTTCCTTGGATTTCTATATACTAAACCGCACATTTTATGCACCCTCTAGTTTTCCTATAAACTTTATTCCATGTATGTTGAGGATTACTCGAAAAGGTAATTTTGGTTTCTTTTTCTTCTTCTTCTTCTTCGCGTTTCACCAGCTTTAAACTCTGGCGGAAAGTTCTGGTTGTTTATCCACTGCTGCACTGCAGTCCTGTTCCAGAACTCCAGAACCTGAGTGTTACGTATGCATCCATTTTACAGATTTGACTCATCTGTATGCAGACTGCAGGTTCCTTGCCTCTCAGGCAGATGCACTCCGACTTCAAAGGAAGCTCCCAATTAGTCGACTCTTACGACATATTTTTTGGTAGGCAGTGGGTCTATTCTTGTTTTCTCTATAATAGGACCCCGGAACCCACACGGGGGAATTTTGGTTTCGTATCATATTATCAAATCACAACGAATGTAGCTGTTTAATAAGAAGGGGCAGGGTTGGACCACCACTGAGGCAGGCACAGGATATTAAACACACACTAAGTGCGAACATGCAGGAAAAAACTGGCTGATTTTTGGTACACGATGACGTATCAGGACAGAAAGCTTTCTGTTGTACACAAATGCCAACAGAAGCCTAGAAATAAGCAATTATCTCCCATTATTGTGTCTTTCCTGATCCCAAAGCTTTAAGTTGTCTACCCTTGTCAGACCGGGACCATACTTACGAAGACACAAAACTTCTTTAGATGAGTCTGTGACACCGTGAACTAGAAAACTAGGGTTGCAGACGTCTTTAACATTTATGTTCCGCAAAGAACGTTTGAAAAGGTATTTGCTTAAGCAACTATAAAGTTTGCCCTTGTAAAGTCTTTATTAACAGCCCACTGATTAGCGTCCACTTCTACTTTTTTGTGTTATTATTATATTACTTTTACGTTTTAAAATACTCTCATCCCAAAAAACGTCACTTTGGTGAGCCAGAATTTCAAACTACGTTCCAGAGGGGAAAATAACACCCCCCCCCCCTTTTTCCCAACCGCCCCATTTCCCCCAAACGATGTAACCTTCTTTAACAATATCCACTTGTTAATATTAGATATGGCACGGGTTAAGACATTTCTGAAGTGTCAGTGAGTGGACAGACTCACCCTCTCCCGATTTCTCTGTGATAGTATGATGTCATTTATAATCATTACAACACTGTGTATAAGTTTAAAACAGATGTAGTAAAACTATCACATGATCATACATGTGTCGCATTTACGTCCACATTATTCATTATTTAAATACAGCTATCAAATCCATCGGTGTTCACATTTTACAAACACAACAGTTGTTAACAAACAAGACTACCCAACAATCTGCATACAAACTATATGTATTCTGGTAAAATATGCGATTCTTTAATTAAGTCCAGTAAATGCACAACTAATATAACTTAACAAAACTTCTAAATTAATCATATTACATAAACGCATATACATGGCACTCTAGGGAACAAAGGATACTAAAAAAAAAAAAAAAACAGACAACTTGGTAATGGACAAAAAATTGCTGGCTAGTTTTTTTCTTATCAAAATCTACACTTAGTAAATACGTCGTTTCACACTTCCTCTTTAAATTAACGTATTGCAAGTATTAATTATATTGCAGTATTACAAATTATATATATGCTATATTAATTACAATAATTGTCGCAGCGAGTAAGATCATTTATTTTTTCCCTTTCTCGAGCTGTTTTCCACAATACTACAAATGCACCACCTTTTCCCCCTTACAGAAAACGGGAAAACAATCAAATTAGTTACGGCTACGGTAGTGTTAACAAGCAAGAGGCAGGAGAAATTTGGGGACAACTCACGAAATTCTGGTCTCTCAGTTTTCTGGCGACGTCTTCTCTCCAAGGACAAGTTCTCTGTGCAGGTACGTCGTTTCGTCAGCGCCTTTTGGGGGTTTGGTCGCCTACCTTGACATTGCCCGTATCTCGACGTCCATTGGACAGATTCGTGGGCAGGTCCCGGACACACCTCCAGCGGGATGTAGGACACGCACGACGTACATGATAGCGGTTTGTGTTTTGTAAACCTGTTTTGCTGCAGACTTCAAGGTTGTATTGGGCCTGAGGATTTTATTGTTTGCACTTTTTCCGCCCTAAGCGCTCGGCTTTTGCAGCCGTGCTCTCCCCAGACTGTTCATATTTTGTTGAATTTCCACTGACCGAGTTATTATTTTTTTTGTTTAATTTAAAAAGATTTTATTTTCCAAATATGTTTGCTTCGCCCACATTGTGAAATATCTGCGCAAGATTGCCATATTGTTGTTAGCTTCCTTTCTATTGCCATGTTGCTGTCAGCTTTCTCCCCCTCCTTTCTTTTCTACCCCCCCCCCCTTTTTTTTTTACGAGAGCGAGAGAGACAGAGAGAGAGAGAGAGTCAGACAGAGAGACAGAGAGAGAGAAAGGAAAA